TAGGTTTTCTTTATGTATTATTGTGATTAATCCCTTGTCCATCTTAAATATAGCAAATTGATTTCCTTAGACTGTTAGTTATATTTTGTTTGTAAAATTTTCCATTGAACAGGAAGTTTCATGAAATTTGACTGAATTAAAATTAATTCATTCTAAGCTGGGCGTGGTGGTGCACACCTTGAATTCCAGCACTTGGGAGGCAGAAGCAGGCAGATCTCTGTGAGTTCAAGGCCACCTGCTCTACATAGTGAGTTTTAGGACAGCTGGAGCTACAGGGAAACCCTTTCTCAAAAATACCAAAAAAACAAAAAAACAAAAAAAAAAAAAAAAAACCCTGAAATAAAACACTATCAGGTTTCTGCTCAAACCCCTCCACTTGCATCTGGTTTCTTTCAGAACCAAACCAACAGGCTTTGTCATGGCCCACAGGCTGAATTTCACCTGGCTTTTGCTGTCTCTGTCCTCATTTTTCACCAATCTCTGAGTTCCTCTGCACTAACTCTGTATGGCTTCCTTCTGTCCAGGTAACCATAGCCTCCTTGGTGACAAGTTTCTGCTCAAATCTCACCTGCTACAGGAAGCCTTGTCACATTTCGTTTGTGTTTTCTTGTTGATTTTCCAGCTGGAAGCCTCTCTCCCAGTCAAGGAAAGCTAAGTATTAGGACCTCATCTGTCTTGTTTATTACAGCATCAGCCACACCAGTGCCCTCAGCACAGGGCTGCCGCTAATTAATATTTGTTAAATAATGAAGAAATCAGCATACTTTGTTGCTATTAAGGGTGTCAACCAAAATGATGGCGATGGTATCTACGTTCAGCGCCACCCCAAACAACAGTTTGCCGAGAGTAACCCAGAAAGTCACCTACACACATTCTGAGTGGATAAGTCACCAACAGAGGGAACAGCCCACTGTAGTGCAGAGCCAGATCTGCAGTCAGGACACTGTTAAATAGTGTTAGTTTTCAGTGAGATATTTTAGAGTGCTTAAAGTGTCCAAGTTCACGAGCTATAATGTTAAATCTATGTAGTTTCTGAAAGAAATTTGAGAACTACAACAAAAAGCGACAAATTTTCTTATGTTGGACACAGTGCAGTATAAAAGTTCTTTCTTACAACCTTATTTGATTTGACCGTGTTCCTTGCCTGAGTTAGAGCTCGCTCACAATAGTACCACATTTACAGATGGAATTAGGGGAGGTGACTCATACAAGGATTTCCTGCTGTACAACTGGACTTTGGGAGAGTAAATCCAAACTACGACTTCTGATTTCAAATTCTTAATTTTTTTCCCTTTACACTTTATTGGTTTATTCAGCCTCCGTCACAGGATCATTGGCCACCTGTGGCTTCAGGTGCTGGCTGAGCTGCAGTATAGTGTGATAAGGAAGTTGACCATTGTCTGCTTTTTTAAATTCTAAAACTACGTGCATTAGATGTACCTGAAAAGAAAGTCAGTAATTTGCAAATCCTTCTCGTGGTCCTCGGGCCCCTCTCCTGCAGAGCTTTGAACACGTGTAGGGCAAACCCCCGCCCTGCCAGGAGGCGGGAACGCAGCAAAAGGAGCGGGCGGCGGTGGCAGAGGCCAGGATATTGCGCGCAGTGGCGAGGCTGCATTGTGGGGTCGGGGTGGGCGGTGGAAAGGCCGCCTGTGGGCGTGGGCACAGCCGGGGCCGGGCGGAGTGCGCGGGGCGGGGCGGCGACGTGGCAGGCCGCGCGGCGCGGTGGCCATCTTGGAGGCGGGATTCCCGCGAGCTCCGGTGGCATCTTCCTCGTCCTCTGCGAGCCGGGGTCCTGCGCCCCGTCCCGACCCTCACTCTGCAGGTGCTGCGCGGGTGCTCGCTGGGACCCCAGGTGAGCGCTGGCCTGGCGGCGACGTGCGCACTGCCGTGGCGGGGGAGCGTGCAGGGATGAGGGGTGGCTGGCGGGTGGGGTGCTGAGTCCGCGGCCGGAGGGACGTGGGGCGGGCCTGCTCCCCAGCACGGACCGAGGTGTGCGGAGCCGGCTGGTCCTCGGCCCAGGCCCCGGCTCCCGCCCCGTTTCGCTCACTCCGCGCCCGGCCTCGGGCTCCACCTTCCCGTCGCGGACCTTCGCCCCGCGCAGCGCGGTGGAGACGTGGCGCAGGCCGGTCCCGGACTGCCTAGATGGCCCTCTGCAGAGATGGCCTTCTGCCGGCGGCCTGGACACTTAGATGACAGCCTGGGACTGGGGCTGGGAGGACGCGTGTTTCTCTGGCGTTCTCTTATCGGTGACCAGCAGCGCTCCGCAGGGCTTTTTTCCTCTCACTGCGGGTTCAGCCTTGGGACCCACTAAGCCACATTTGCAGCTTAGCCTGTACCCTAGATTGGCCAGGTATTTTGCCCTTTGTCAAAGTAGTTACTGTGAAAGGCAACATACCTGTCTTCCATCCTGAAACACCTCGGCACCGCAGTCCTGTGTGGCCACCTGCTTTGATCAGTGAGCATTTGGTTATTTTGTGAGCAGCACCTAGAATGAGAGACAAAACTGACCTCTGCCCTGGGTCGGTCTGCTGGAAGACGCAGGCCTGTGGCAACCAGTATGTCAGTAAGAATAGCTTCTAATGCTCTTGAGTTTATCAAAGCTCCATTATTCTGTTTTTCTCATAAGTAGACATCCATTTAAAAAAGCAAAACAAAACAGAAGGCACAAGTAGGTTGGAAGAGCAGTTTGACCAGAGCCTTGGGACTCATCCTCCAAGCCAAGTATGTCCAGCCCCTTTTCTGTAACATTGATGCATTCGTTCTGCTTTTTGTTCCTTAAAGCTTTCCCGACTGATGCTTCAATATTGTTTCTCCTAATTCAAAATTTAAGAAATATCTGTGAAATTTACCGCAATATTGTCATTAAGCCATTCCTCAAATAGGAAAGCTTTTAAAGACTGAAGGAAATTGATCATTTATTATGGGTTGTGTGTTCTTTTTAAAAATATTTTATTATCTTTATTTTATGTGTATGAGTGTTATCCCTGCATATATGTAAGTGCACCAGTGTTCTGCATTGCCCGTGGACGTCAGAAGAGGGCGTTGGATCCCCTGGGACTGGAGTTATGGACAGTTGTTAGTCACTGTGGGTGCTGGGAACCCAACCTAGGTCCTCTGGAAGAGCAACCAGTGCTCTTACCTGCTGAGCCATCTTCCACACCCCCTCCACCCCCACCCCCAGGCTGTGTGCCCTTTTGCCTCTGTGTTTGCTGTTAGAGACCAGACTATCCTTAAATAAGGACCTCACCTAGCCATGGTGAGGGTTACATGCTTCTGTAGCAGGAAGATGAATGGCCAATAAAGAAATGAAGAGATGAAAAAAAGATAACTTCAGTGGAAGGTGATAACATCTGCAGAGGGGCCTTTGTGTCTCATTGTCTGTCCCTGCTCAGGTAGGGAAGACAGGATTTGGCCTCCTTGAATCCTGTTGTCTCTCCTCCCTCCACAGCCAGGCTTTGATGTGCTGTGTATCTGTCTTAGGTCCCACTCCTCAGTCTGATTCTGACCATCTTCTGTCATGGATTTTTTTCTCTGGAAACAGCTCTGAGCTTGGCTGTAGTTCAGCAGACCCATCAAACCTTTTACACAGTCTTGGACTCCTCTGTAGTATTTAGTGCTGGTGTCTGTTCCTACCTTGAAGTGCTGGCTTCTGAGCACTATGGTCCCCTTATTTCTCCGTCTCTCTGCTGGTCTTATTCTCTACAGGTTACTACATGGCCATATCAGGTTTGACTTGAGTTAGAATCTCTTTTCTCTTCTTAGATAGTCTTCCTCTCAGAACATGATCTTAGAGATCATTAGTGCATTGATGGCACCTGTATTTGGGGGGTTTCTAACTCCAGACAAACTTAGTGTTCTTCCTCTTTTGTTTCAAGGAGCTTTGATCTTATGTTAGAGATGAAACACTTTATGATCTCTCCAAAAGACACCGTCACACACTTGACCTCTTACAGTGCTCCCTAGCTTACCGAATGCCATCGTTACCTAACTAGTTGTTTAAGCCCTACCTCTTTCTCTGTCAGTCTCTATGTTTTACTGCCCAGTGAGTTTTACCGCCTAAACATTTACATCTGTCTCCTCCCCGTCTCTGTCGTCACTACCTTAGTCTAGGCCATGCAAATTCTTAACCTGGCATAATCTATAGATATTTGGGACCAGTTGACTCTGGTGGGTTGTTGTGTATTGTGGGAATTGTAACTGCTACCTAAGAGATGCCAGTGGTACCCCTTGTGTGACTACCAGAAGTTGCCATGGGAACTCTGGAGGTATGAGGTTATGATAATCACTAGAGTAGGTTATTAGCAGATTCTGTTAAACTGTCATTTTTGTTTTAAGAGACACAGGGTCTCCTGTAGCCCCATCTGGCTTGGAACTAGCTATGTAGACCAGGCTGGCCCTGAGATCTGTCTGCCTCTGGTGCACTGGGATTAGAGGCATGTACCACCACACTCAGCTCTGAACTGTCTTTCTAAGTGGACTCTCTATAGCTGCTTTGTCTCTGTCTGCCCAGTGATCCAGGGTACAAACTTCAGTCAAAGGAATCGTCTCACCACCCATGGTAATGAACCATGGGGTTGAATTCAGGGCCTTGCATTTGCTAGGTAAGTGCTTTACCACCGAGTTGCCGCCCCCCCCCCCCCAGAGAAAACTTTTTAAAACACAAACATGAATTGTCAGTAACTAGGATCAGTCTAAATGTCCTCAAGCAAGTAATTGGATAAACTTGCACTTCTTTGTACTGGAAGTACTGGTCACTAATATTGATAACAAACACCAACTTGAATGGATGAATCTCATGCACTTTGCTGTGTGGGGGAAAAAAGCCATATATTGAGGTCACTTGCTATATAATTGTATTCATGTTAGGTGAGAAAATGAGAGAACAGATGAGTTCTTGGTTGCCAGTCTTTTTGGTTGGAAGGAGGATGGGATGAAAGAGCATGAGGGAGTTTGGTATGGTGTAGTTCTGTGGTGATAGGCTCTGTGCATGTGGTTAAGTGTTGTAGAACTACACATGCCTTACATACACACGGATAACTATAAAACAGGTGAAGTTCATATAAGGTCTATGGATCAGTGAATACATTTTACTGGTGTCAGTTTTCCAGGATTGCTCATTGTGTGTAGTTTTGTAAGGAACTCTGCTATTTTTGTGTCTTGCAGAATTAAAATTTTAGAAAAGTTAGAACAAGACAAGACCAATATGCTACGTCCCTCCTGAGTGCCTTGCAGTGACTCTGTTCTTAAACAGTTTAGTGCCTTAACCCTGCCCCGAAGGAAGGCTGGGTGCGCTCTGAGCTCCTGGCTGTCTCTCAGCCCAGTTCTCCCCCATGGGCTCTCTTGAGGCATCCCACCCCTTTGGCATGCATAGCATTTGCACTAGCAGTGTGCTTATTTTTTTCTGGAAGTGGTGTGTTCTCCCTTTCCTTGACCTATGCAAATTCCATTTATCCTTTAGATTTCAGTTTATCTGTGACTTACGAATCTTGCCCTTACCACCATGTCAGTCAGATCCTGTCAAGCATGACTGTGTTTTTACCCTTAACATACATAATCGAGACCACAGCAGTGCATTGGTGTTACTGTATCAGCATCTTGCGTGTTGGTGCTCTTATTTGGTTGTGTCTTGTACAAGAGTCTAAATTGACTGTTTTTTGCACCATTATAACTGCAGAGAAGCCATGGTAGTGCTTGGCTTTCACTGAATATTTATAAAGTGAGTAAAAACATCGACAACAAATTTGGCACATTCAGAGTTAGTTTTATTATTGATTGGTTTTATATCATCTTAGCTTCTTGTCCTGTTGCTGTGATAAAATTTCTGACCAAAGTAACTTAAGGGAGAAATGGTTTATTTTGGCTCACAGCTCAAGAGTACAGTCTCAAAATGGTATGGCCCTGGCCCTCAGTCTGGAATGTCAGCCAGGGGATGGTGCCACCCACTGTGGGCAGGTCTTCCACCTCAATAAACACAAGATACTCCCCTGAAGACATGCGTAGGAGGCCCTTCTGCTAGGTGATTCTAGAGTCTTTTCAAGTTGACAAGTAACACTGACCATCACACATACTTAGATGAACTTTAAGATTTCTAATTTTTTAATAGAATCATATTTACCCTCACTACCCACTCTTGACCCACCCCACTATGTCTCTGTCCCAATTTCATGTCCTTAAAAAAAAAAAAAAAAAAAAGCCAACATTTTTAGTCCACTGAGTCCAAATAGTGCTGAGTTTTAATAGTGTGTGGGTGTCAGGCCATCTACTGAAACATGGGAAATCTGCCAAGGGCTCTGAAGAAAACTGACAGCCCTTCTCCCAGCGGCCTTCAACCCCCAGTAGCTCCTTAGCCGGGTTGTAGCGTTGGGAGCCCCTCCCACTTCCAAGTTGGAATGGTGATAGGCTTGATCTTGTGCAGGTCATGTGCAGGTAACCACAGCTGCTGTGAGCTCATGAGTACAGCTGTCCTGTCATGTCCAGAAGACAGTGTTTGCAGCAGCCCTCCCCAACCTCTGGCTCTTACACCTTTTCTACCCTCTCTTCCATGATCTTCCCGAGTCTTGGGGGAGTAGGAGCTGTGATAGAGATGCTCTGTTAGGGTCTCAACACTCCAGTCACTTATTCTCTGCATTTTGACCAGTTGTGAGTCTTGTGGACTGCAGGAAAAAACCTTTCTCTCATGAGGATTGAGACTGGCACTAATCTATAGGTGTAATGCTAAGTATTTAGAAGGCAGTTTGATTTGTAAGGATGACTTCCTGTATTTTGTTATGTCTTATCCTCTGTTAGTTCTGTTAGGATTTTGCTTCTTGTGGCTTGTTAACTTCTACAGTTAACTGAGATAACCAGAGGCTTATTTCACTGTTACAAAGTATGCTTTAAGATGTGTAATAGGGGGACAGGAAAATACCTTTATCAAGTTGAACACATTTTGAAGTTTCTGAATGTTAATAGGCTAGTGCAGAGAATACATTTATCAAGACAAATACATTTAACATTTAAAAAGAAATGTCAGACTTGGGTATGATGACATGTGCTTGCTTTTAATCCTAGCACCAGGAGGCCAGACAAGTGGATAGCTGTGAGATTGAGGCTATCCTGCCTGGTCTCCATAGCGAGTTCCAGGCCAGATAGGGCTAAGGGAGACCCTGTCTCAAAAAAGAGAAGAAAGAAATTTCAACAGGGCTATCCCACATAGAATGCTTTGTGAGGGATGAGGAAGCATTTCAAAATTAAATTAGATGTTTGTATTTTAAGTATCACGACTAAAGCCTACACACACCTGGCAGGATTCAAGTGGCAGAAATTGACTTGGCACTTTTGAAATATATTGCTTCATTGATTATAGTTAACATAAAATTATCTCCCAGTTTTCAAATATGTATATGGAAAATCAAAGGATAGTTGTATATTTAATGATCTATTCACAGGCTTTTTCAGGAATTTTTTATAGATTTTTTTTTTTTTTCCTTCTGAAACAGAATTTCCCTGTAGCCCCAGATGGCCTGGAACTCCCTATGCAGACCAGAATGGCCTGGATCTCACTGAGATCTACCTGCCTCTGCCTCCCTAGTATTAGGATTAAAGGTGTGTACTACCATGCCCAGATATATTTTTGTTTTGTTTTTATTTGTGTGTATGTATGTGTCTATATGTGTGAGCCTGTCTGTCTGTGTTTGCCAGCCACATGTGTGCAAGTACCTACAGAGGCCAGAGAGGGTATTGGATCCCTTGGAGCTGGAGTTCTAGGCAGCTGTGAGCTGCTCAGTGTGGGTGCAGGGATCTGAACACAAGTCCTCTAGAAGAGCAGGGTCCACTCTTAATTGCTGTGTCATCTCTTCAGGCCCTCAAAGGAATTTTGATAAATCCTTAATCTAGAAATAAGTTATAAACAGTAAAAGCAGATATTTGTCTTGGTGGTTATTCTGAATTTTTCTCTACATGGGTTGTTATTGTGTGAAGCTTATTATTACATTTTTACATTTTTGCAGTGCACCATTAATTGAAGAAAAATGATGGAAGAGAGTGGAATAGAGACAACTCCCCCGGGGACTCCTCCCCTGAATCCTGACTCTCTGATTGCTGCCACCATGCCCTCCACCTCTGTTCCTTTAGGTAGGCTGTGTCTGTGTCTGACTCCTGGTGGGTTGTAGGCTGGGAGACACTGTTGTCATCTTAGACAGTTAGAAGAAGGCATATTTTAACACTTCTCTAATCTTTGTCAGGATGGACAGAAATAGCTTTTTAAAATTTAAGCAATACAAAGAAATAGCCTTGCTTGATAAAAGAAAGTGTCAGTGTTTTGCTGGAAGTAGACATTAGTTCTCTAGTTCCTATTGACTGTAAACCATCTTTGTAACCATGCCCAGCGTAACCTTCCAGGTATGTGCTGTCTGCATCCCATGTTCTTCTACCTTGTTGTGATTAATCTTTTTGAGCTTTTAAATGTGTAGGCTTTTATATTCAATTAGGGCTGAAAAGGGACCTCATTTCCTCACACACACACACACACACACACACACACACACACACACACACACGCCCCAGTAGAAAAAAAAAAAGACCTGTTCAGGAGCGGCACCGCAGTGGAAGGGTGCTGCTTTCCCCCCAGGTAGCTACTTGCAAGTCTTTTGCACTCAGTTACAGTTGTTAGACATTTGAAATTATACATTTAAAATCAGTTGCTGAGATTTGACTTAAGAAGAGAGCAGTAAGAGTTTGAAAAGGAAATAAAAAGAATTTCCAACATTTCATTTATATTCACTCCATTTTTTTCTAGCTACAACCAGTTCCTTCTCTTCTCCGAGTGTACCAGCGATGGAGTCCTTGCCACCACATGCCCATTCTACCCCTCAGCCATCCCTGCCCTCCATGCGGCCACCTGCCTTTGTGTCACCATCTCCAGCCCCTTCCCTTCCCCTGAGTGGTCCTCCCGTGTCTCCATCCTCCCCTGCCGCCTTCAGCAGTCCACCTTTATCCCACTTCCCACCTTCGACTTCCGCTCCAGGCACTCTTCTGTCTGCACCCTCCTCGGGTCCTCCTATATCAGGATTTTCTGTTGGTACAACTTACGACATCACAAGGGGACATGCAGGAAGAGCCCCCCAGACACCTCTGATGCCGTCGTTTTCTGCACCTCCAGTAACAGGTCATTTCTCTTTGAAATATATAGGTGTAGCTAATGTTTACTATTATTTGTTAGTTTTCGTTTTATTGAGCTATGACTCACATTCCATACAGCTGCCAGTTTGAAATGTGCATTTACAATAGGTTCTAGTTTATGTATGGAGTTGATGAACTTTCCTAGCCCTGAAAAGAAGGTCCTACTTGTTAGTCATTCTCTGTTGCAGTTCTCACAGCTCAGGCAGCCACTACTATGCATTCTCTAGATAGGTTTGCCTATTCTGGGCATTTCTTGTAGATGGAATCATATCATATATGTGTTCTTTTCTGACTGGCATTGATTTCACTTAAGGCGTTTTCATGGTCTGTGTTGTATGAGGAATTCATTCTTTTATATGACTGAATAGTATTCTGATGCGTAGCTATGGCGTATTTTGTGTATTTAGTTCATCAGTTGATAATTGACTCATTTGCCCTTTTTGGTTGTTTGGATAGCTCTGCTAGGAACTTTAGTTTGTGCATTTCTGTGTGGACATGGTCTCATTTCTCCTGCATACACACCTGCACAGAGAGAATTGCTGACTTGGTGGTAACCATGTGCTTTTGAAACAGTGCCAGCCTGTTTGCAAAGCACCTTCATTATTTCATGTTATTCTCTGAGCGGTGTATCAGGTTTTACTTTTCAGCAGTGACAGTCTGTTCTTGCTCTTTGATTTCCAGAGTTTACCAGTCTCATTTATTTTTCTAATCAAATTAACAATAAAACTAATGTAACAGTATATGATATTTTTCTGTGATATAAAACTTGATATATGATTGTTATTTGAGGTATGAGAAAGAATTCCAAAATTTTGTCCTAACATTTGTGTACTTACTGAGAAACTTTGGGTTGAAATCTGAGAGTGTGTTAAAGCTTTACTTTTCTATAAGAACTGACTTGTTGAGGAGTAGTTTATTTAGCTAGATAAAAATCCATGTGCTAGAAGTGGGTGTTCTTGGGTCCTTTCCTTTCTTAGATCAGCTGCATCTTTTTTTTCCCCTTCTTCTTTCTCTTCTCTGGTGTGGTTGTTAGAAACCAGTTATCAAAACCTAATCTTTGTCTCTTCGGTTGTTTAGCATTTTAGGGTAGAGAAGCAATTTAGCTCTGATTAGTTATTATGCAAACTGGCCTATCTACCTTTACATATAAAAGCTATGTAGTGTGTAGGTTTTATCTGCTCATCTAGGCTTAGGAGAGTTTTCTTCTGGAAGGGTACGGGTTATTTAAAGTGATTGTTCTTTGACTTTTTTGATGGGCTTCAGTGCTCAGTTATTTTTATTAAGTAAAGAGATTAGGAATGTAGCTGTCCACTCAAACTGAATAAAACAAACACAAAGAACACACATATGTTTGTGTATGTACATGTATGTCATGTATGTGTGTGCTCGTCTTTTCTCAGGACACTTGGTGTATACTCATGTAAAGGGAAAGACATTTTTTTAAAATTATGTTTAATTTACATTTATAAAGGTTTGAGTGATTCTTTGACATCTAATCTTGAGATGCTTAAGTAAACATGGTATTGACTGTGTTTTGAGCTGCTCATCTCCTGTGCTGTGTCTTTTTTAGGAAAATGTTTGTGGAATAAATTACACATATTAAAATTTTTGCTACTGACTAGGTATTTTGCCAGCCCCCATTACTCAGCAAGCCAGTATGACATCTCTGGCACAGGGACCTGGAACCACGTCAGCCATTACTTTCCCAGAGGAACAAGAAGATCCTAGGATTACTAGAGGTCAGGACGAAGCATCTGCTGGTGGTGGAATATGGGGTTTTATCAAGGTAAGGGATTTACTTTTAAACTTATTACCTGATTCTAAAATGGATAGTGGTCATTAGAGGCCATTTTGAAATACAATATGGGGAAGGGAAGAAAGTTTTCAGTTTTCTGTAGTTGCTTCCACCTTTTCACTGTACATGTCTATATAGATGTACTTACTCCTAAAAAAAAAAAACCAGATTGAACTAGTGACATGTGGGCACCGTGTCGCTTGTCTTTACCTAGATGATTTTATGAGTGTTTTCCTAGCCATGAAATCTCCCTCCCTCCCTCCCTCCCTTTTTTGGTGTATGTATTTGGTGTATGCAAATATTTGTATGAATGTGTGTGTGTGTAGGCATGTGTATACACACACGTATGGAGACCAATCAGGGTTTTCCTTCATTGTTCTCTACATTGCTTTTTGATACAGAGACTCTCAGTGAACTGGGAATTCATCCATTCAGCTAGGCTGGTTGGTCACTGTCTTAGTTAATTTCCTATTGCTGAGATAAAGCACTGTGACAAAGAGAACTTATAAAAGGAAGAGTTTGAGTTTACAGTACCAGGGGAATTAGAGTCTGTCGTGGCAGGGAGGCATGGTAACAGCATGTGGCTGGAGCAGGAACAGAAAGCAGAGGCTCATATCTTCAAGCAGGCACAGGAAACAGAGAGTGATATTAGAGCTCTGGCAAGGCTTAAGAACTCTCTAAGCCCACCCCCAGTGATGTGTGTCCTCCAGCATAGCCACACCTTCTAAGACCTCTTAAAACTACACTGCCAACTGGGGACAAAATGTCCCGCTACTTGGAGCCTGTGGGGGACATTCTCATTCCAACCCCCACAGTCAGTGAGCTTGTACAAGGATCTCTTGTCTTCCCTCCCATGCTGGGGTCAGAGATACATGCTGCTATGCCCAGCTTTTTACCTGGGTGCTAGGGATCTGCATTCAGCCCTCATGCATATACAGCAGGCATTTTACCACCTCCCCAACTCTGAATATTCTTTCTTTAGAAATGGCCTGCCTCTGCCTCCCAGGTGCTGGGACTACAGGCATGAGCCACCACGCCCGGCAGAAATGTATATATTTTTTTATGTGTATGAGTGTATGAGTGTATTGCCTACATGTATATTAGTGCACCCATATTGTGCAGTACCCACAGAGGTCAAAAGAGGGCATCAGATTCCCTGGAACTAGAGTTAAGAATGCTTGTTATCCACCATGTGGCTGATGGGAACCGAACCCAGGTCCTCTGCAAGAGCAGCCAGCTCTCCAGCCCCCAGATTTTTACTTTTTATTTTGAAAAAGTGTCTCACTTGGTTGCCTAGACTGACCTTAAACTCACTTCATATCCCAGGTTGACTTTGAACTTGCAGTCTTCTCACCCTTAGCCTTGCAGCAGAGGATTATAGGCCTACACTGCTAGGCCTGGATAACATGATGTATAATGCAATTTTTTAATCATAGCCCTTGAGCTATACGGTGATCTCTTCTGATTGTGATTCTTGTAAATGAGTGCGCTGATGCACATGTACGTGATGGGCATCTCTGACCCAATAGGATTAACACCATGTCCCAGTCGGTGTCTTAGAACTCACTGTATGTGACTCTCCAGCCAGCATACATCATTAGGGCATTTTTCATTTAGCGGTACTGACTATTTTAAATACAGTATTTTCTGATTTGATAGATGAAGTTTGAAACCTTTTTTGGTATATGTATGTGAGTATGTGGGTGTGTGCATGTATGTATGTGTCTGCATGTATGTTGGAACATATGTGTGTTTGTGTATGTGTGGTATGTGTGCAGATGCACACGTGTACACATTTGTGGAGGCCGGAGGTTGATGTACATATCTTTCTTGATCACAGGGTCTCTTACTGACCTAGAACTCATGGTTTTGAAAGCTCATCTAACTTGTCAGCTTGCTTTGGGGATCCCTGACTCTGCCTCCTGGCATCACGCGTGGCTGCCACACCTACTGGCGTTTTGTGTGTGTTCTGGGAGGTCCCTACTTCAGTCTTCAGGCTTAAATGACAAGTGTTTTACCTGCTGAGCCATCTCCTTGGCCCTGAAGCCTGTTTCAGTGTTCATTTACTACTGAATTTCATCATTTCTTTCTGAGATTTTGTTTTGTGAATTCTCTGTTCATGTGCTTTGCCTGGTTTTGAATTGACTTGTCCTAATGAATTCCTCATGAGCTCTTACTCTTGTAATGCTATTTCACTGTATACATGTTACAGCTTTTTCCATTTTAAGCCACGTTTTTCAGGACTTGTTTCTGTGACTTTTCAGGGTTTTTATGCTGAAGGAATGCCTTTACGTACCATAACACAGACAGCTGTTTCTCTTCAACATCTTCTACTTGTGTCATTTCATTTTCACCCTGACAGTTCATTGTAGCTGATGCATTTCACACCACATCATAAGGCAGACAGATGAAATTTAGGTGTTTTCCGGCCTCCTAATGAAGTGTATGAAGCTTACATGCCCAGCGATTTCATGTCACCTTTGTCTCATCTCCTAAACTATGTGGTAGTAGTGCCAGTGCCCGTTGAGCCCGTCTTTGTAGTAGTACACACCCTTCAAGCTGCAGTGAGGCTTGACTCATACACCCTTGTGTGTTGAAAACTTGCTCTGCTGCGATGTACCGGTGTGAGGAGCTTCAGCAATACAGTGCAAAGGGCACTTATGCTCTTATGCATGATAAATGTACAGCAGTATCTGGTGATGTGAGCTTGCTGATTCCTCTTCAAGCTTTTAGTTTGCTGATCTTTCGAACTTCTTTTTCTTTTTGAATTTTGGAATCATTCTCCAGGTTCCTCCTAGTATTCTGCTGGGAGTTTATTCAAAGTTTCATTGCGTATATTAAACATTTTTAGATTAGCTGGTTAATGTGGCTATGCTTCTGAATCTGATTTTTTAAGCTTGCTTTTGTATATTCTTTGTACTTTTAATTTTTTTTTTCTTTATCTGGAAACCACAACCTTTCTTTCCTCTGTAAAGAGAATGTGCCAGTTACTAATTACAACTCAGTTATCTCTCTGGGACCTGGTATAGCAATAACCTTAGTTTCCTGGTAAGTTGGAAGAGGAGAACCCTAGAATGCCCCCGGAGTGCTCCCTTGCCCTTTTGCTTTCGGAGGGTGTAGTGAGCGGAGATCTGGGAGGCGGTCTTCTGTCTCCTGGTGCTATTGGTCTGAAGAATCCAGAGGCCAGAGATCCGCCTAAGGGAGGAGGGTTTGGGAATGGGTAAACCACGGAAGAGGAAACTTGAGTAGACCATGATTAACCCAAGGGTAGCAGGAGCTATTCTGGAGGATAAAGGCGAGATGTATTTTTTACCATTTTTTATCTTTAATGGGCTTATACACATCTGATTACAGTCTTTATTGGGACCCAGAGGAACAAGTTTTTCCTAATAATTAGATAAATTAATAGAAGTAAAAAATATAAATGTACTTATAAATGAAACACACACTGAGCATTTCACTTTTTAGGCCAGTGCCACTGAAGTGTATTCTGCAGACTGCTGCTGGTCTGCTCCACGAAGGGAAGAGAAAGAAGAGTACTATTTAGAATTTCAGCAATCTGACACTGAAGACCTCATTTTTCTTACAGTTTTCAAAAGTACTGTATCTGTAGTTTTCAAAAAGTTCTGGTCTACTATGCAGTAGTCACTGGTAGGTTTCCTGTGCCAGTGGATGGCCCACTCCCATGCACACATGAGCTGCACTAACTAGACTTAGCAGGTTCAAAATAAATGAATGAATGAATGAATGCAAGCAAGCAGGCATGAAGTTGGGAGAATGGGTGTTGAGGGGACATGGGGGTAGATATGACCATATTTTATTGTTTAGTAGACCAGAAAAATCTACACAAAAGTCTGCTGTGTAGGTCTTGTACAGTAACCACAGCTGCTGTGAGTTCATGGTTGCAAGAACATGTCAGGTTCGGAAGACTCTGTTCTACAGCAATCCCCTCCATCCTTTGGCACCTGCATTCTTTCCACCTCTCTTCCTCTATGTTTCTTGAGCTTTGGTGGTGATGGGGTCCCATTTAAAACTGAGCATCAAGCCTCTTATGCTCAGCACTTTGACCAACTATGTATCTCTCTATGCCAAAAGTTCTAAAATAGGTGAGGTGGATGATCTCCAGGCCTCACCCCTTGCTGAAGAGCTATTGGCAGTGATAGTTGCTTGAAGAGAAGAGAATCATTCTTTTTTAGAATGTAGCCACTGGTAGGTTTCCTATGCCAGTGGATGGCCCCACCCCATGTACATACGGGCAGCACTAAGTGAACTAAGTGGGTTCAAAATAAACAATAAATAAATAAATACATGAAGTTGAGAGAAGGAGTGTTGAGGGGACATGGGGTAAATATGACCATATTTTATTGTATACATATATGAAATTTGCAGGAAGAAAAAGTGTTTAAAGTTTCATTCATACTCTTGAAGATTAAGGTGTTCTTTGGAGAGAGCATTTGCATATTAATTTATTTCTGCAGGGCGTAGCTGGGAACCCTATGGTGAAATCTGTGCTTGATAAGACCAAACACTCAGTGGAAAGCATGATTACGACGCTGGACCCTGGCATGGCTCCATATATCAGTATGTACATAAGTGAAACCCACACAGCCATGTATTTTAAAATGTTTTTCAGTGTCTGTCTCACTGATTGTAGTTTTCAGTTCCTTTCCACTGGTCATGTAATTGGTGGACATTCCTGCTGTGTTCCTGCATTAAAATGAGGCTTAGTCTTAGTTTTTGCTGTAACTAACCTGTCTTTTTCTTAGTCACCATTATGTAAGTTTGAAAACTACACAGAATGAACTTCGGAGAAATGAAACAGTATGAGTTATTAGTATTATTGATCTTAATTATAAATATAGATTAGTGTTGTTTTATATGAATTCTTCCTTATTTACTGTTAACTTTAAAATGAGGGGCTGGAGAGATGGCTCAGTGGTTAAGAGTTCTGGCTGCTCTTGCAGAGGATTTGGGTTTGATTTCCAGAATCCACATGGTGGCTAACAACCGTCCATAACTCCAGTTCCAGGGGAATCCAATGCCCTCTTCTGACTCCGTGGGCATTGCATGACACAGGTGCACTTGCACAGATGCAGACAATACACATACATAAAATAAAAATAACAAAATATTTTTAAATGATACTTTGCTTATACTTGGTTTTAACATTTAAAATTTTTTTGATTGTTTATTTTATGTGTATGAGTGTATTGCCTGCATGTGTATAAGTGCACCCATGTTGTAGAATGCCCACAGAGGCCAGAGAGGGTGTTGGATCTCTTGGAAGTGGAGTTATAGAGTATTGTTAGTTACCATGTAGGTGCTGGGAACTGAACCTGGGTCCTCTGAAAGAATAATCTCTTAACTGCTGAACCATCTCTTCTGCCCCGACATCTTTTTTTTCTAATTATCTATTTTAATTAAATGTGTTTATATTTCTCAGGAATGTTTTTAGAGGAAGCTAATCTATCTAGTAATTAATAAAACTTGATTACTAAGCTTGTAGGGAAAACTCTTTAAATAGCTTTTGAGCCCCTATCAAATATCCTCTGTTGATATAGGCATACTGCCCACTCTTTAACTTCTGTATACATACCCAGTATATGAAAAGAGTGTGGATCACCTAGAACAGTAGCAGCCAACAACCCCAAAGATGCTCATTTGCAAACTGTGCTCTAGGTACTTGAGCACAAGCTTTTACTAACAGTAAAAAGCCAAGAGCTTGTCTTGACTCTGTTGGTAGTTTCCTGTTGAGTACAAGTCAGTTGACAAGACCTACAGTGATTAAGTTCATTATCAAATGCTTGATCTGCTAGCCAGTAATACTCAAGAGAGCTCTGTAAGATGGATGCTTCCTTCAGCTGTGGTGAGGAACCTGGGTTCAGAGAGGTGTAAGTTAGTATTTTGAATCATATAACTTGGTTGGAGGTTGGTTGAATGTATAATTTGAAAAAAAAAAAAATTTAGTCACTTTGCTTCCCAGGAAGTAAAAAATAAAGCCTGGTAGCCATATGTGGTTGCACATGCCTATAATCCCAGCACTTGGGAGATGTGGGATTCAGGGTGATCGGGAATTTATGGCCAGCTTCAACCACAGCTTTATGAGTTCAAGACCTCCTAAAGCAAGCAGCAACAAACAGAAGACCCCCAAAGAATTAGATATTAAATGACCTAAATTGTTCTTTGTGTTTATAACTGTCTAAAAGAGTCACAAATTTGACTCATATATAAATGTGTGTGTGTGTGTGTGTGTGTGTGTGTGTGTGTATATATACACAAATATATTTGTATATTCATCCCAATTTTTTTTGGTATATGTATAAATATTCTTTTCTTCTTATATACATACTTTGAATGAAGGAAAAGAATGAGCATTTTTGGAACTCTTGCTGGTTCACTGAATATACTCTAATAGAGTGTAAAAACAGTCCTTAGCACAAGCTCAATGAGATGGCAGGCATTTCTCTACAAAGAAACAAGTCCTGAGTCTTCTTCAAGGTAATAAAGCTGATGTACGAGAAAGCCAGGGCTCAAATGCAAGGCAGTTTTCAGGCCAGTGGTCTTCATGACCATCAAGAAGAAAGCATGCTGGACTATGTGGTACAAATGTAATCCCACTACCAAGAGGCTGAGGCAGGAGCATTGGGAGTTTTGGCACAGGCCTGGGCTACATAATAAGACCTTGTCTCCTAAAAAGGGTGGTACGAGAAAAGGCAGGGTGGGGTAAAGAAGTGTGGAAACGGAAAGTGTTCCTACCAAACACCCTAACTTAAGATAACATTTAACTTTGATCATCTGCCTTTAAAAAGTAATACAGCTGTAAAACTTATGCTTTACTGACAGATAACACCGTTCTGATACAGTGAAATAATCAGGAAAATTTAAGGCATTTTTACAAAAATGTCTTCATGTTTTCCACGAAGTGTTGAGTCAAGACAGATGGCCTTGTGTTGGGTCAAAGAGTTTTGCATTACAGGTGGCTTTCGTGAGAAATCTTTTTAACCAGTGACTGTCACACGTTATGAATAGAACACAGCCTTTGAATTGATTGTTCAGGTTGAGCATTGTTAATTCTGAAATCTGCAACCCAAAATGCTCCAAAATCTGAAACTTTTGAGTGCTAATATGCTGTCTACCACACACATGGAGAACTCTATACCTGATCATGTGACAGATTTGGGGTCAAAACACAGGTGAACTAAAAATGTATGCATTTACCTTCAAGCTGTGTGCACAGATTATGAAGCAGCTTAGACTTGGGTCCCATGCCCAGGATTATCCATTGGCAGCACATCCACGAGCTGAAATCCAAAACGGTTCTCCCACACAGTTTAGATAAGGGATGCTCAACCCGTATCACAAATCTAAGGTTAAAAAATTTAAAAGATAATCAGACATTTTGTTAAATTGGTCTAGAAATAGCAGAACACAAGTTTAAAAATAATAGAAAAATTAAAAGTGTTTGAACTTATGGATAAGTGAAGGGTAATATAGTATTAACCTGCCTAAAATCCAAAGTTTTTATATTTCACTTTTTCAGTTGTTAAGATGGTAGTACATGTATAATTTACACATCAGTATCTAGCTCTGCTATCCACTTTTTTTAATGCTAAGAATTACAATAAAATGGTTGGTAATCTCATACTAGCATGTTTTCTAGATTTAAAGTTGTATTTTGCCAGGCATGGTGGCGCATGCCTTCAGTCCCAGCACTTGGGAGGCAAAGGCAGGAGGATCTCTGTGAGATCGAGGCCAGCCTGGTCTACATAGCAAGTTCTAGGCCAGCTGGGGCTACAAAGAGACCCTGTCTCAAAAAACCAAAGCGACAACAAAACTGACAAAAAAGTATATTTTTTTGTAGTTCTTGTTTTACACAGAACTTTTCTGAAACTCTGTGATGAATTACTATCAGTGACATTCTTTATTTTGTGTGGAATATCTCAAATGTGTCTTTTGTGCCTCACAAGGCAGGTGTTTGCTTTCATGGATTACTCTGATGTTAGAAGTTTGCATATAATGAGTTTTTTGTCATTGTTAATAGAAAGCAGGAAAATGATTGTTGCTCACAGTCTTCAGATGTGGTAAAGGTGCTCACTCAGAGTGTCAGCCAAGCAGAAGAGGAAACTTGGCTAAGTTAGGCGTAGCACAGCAGACATATGTTTCATACTTACTCTGTGGTCATTTCCAGATGGATTTCTGTGACGTTTCTTAGGAGTCCCTGTTAGGTGCTGAAAGGAGTATTCTGTGAGCAGATTAAATATGGAAAGAACTGATTAAAATGGCGATTGTCACTTGTTGGATTTCTGTCTGATGCGTAAATTGCATTATGAATTTCTGAGAAGGGAACATGTATGTTGCCTCTCCCAAGGTTGCTTGACCACAGA